TTTTTTTTATATGTATATACACAGAGTAGAACACAGAACTGGCCACTGAAAGACAGACAGGCCCCTGCTAACCTGCAAGAAACACAGTGATGCTCCTGCTGACATCTTGTCTTTTTCAATTGCTTTCTTGCTGTCACTTGAAAGCACTAAAACAGCCTGGCAGCGACGCCAAGTAGGTTAATAACATGCAGCGGATGAAAGTGTTGGTAAAACTCTGCACTGCTGCTATACTGAAGAACGGATTTACTATGGAAATAAAATAAACATATCCTAACATATTTCCCTGACCTGCTTCCCTGTGCTGAGGTACATCACCTTCAAAATACAGTGACACGTTCGTTTCTGTCTACACTACGTGCAGCAAGAAAAGAAGCCTGACTTCAGAAGCCCAGTATATTACATGAGTTAGTCATGGCTCATACTGAATTAAACATAGGATGAAGAGTTCTTTTTATCTACAGCCAAAGTGCTAAATCTGACCACTGCAACCAATACTTGCCCACTTCAAATCCTCCCTTTGATAGTGCATTGGAGTTTCAAATGTATGAGTTTGTGCTCATTTTTTAATGGGCTCCAGTTGCAACTATTGGTTGATGTTTGCAGCTGAAAACAACATTACACAAAGCGTTCTTTTTCACCTTGTTGCCAATAGGTCAGATGAGTCATAGTTACATTTTGGTTATGCTTTCACATCTGTATTCTTTCTTTGTTTGCTGCAGGTAGATTTAATCAACCAGTCAACCTGTTTCCCTCCAAGTCATCTCTGATAGGTGTAATAATAATTAAAGCGGAGATGAACGGACAGGCTTGTGTGATCTAACTGTTCTTTTGGAGTTGGATGTTGAATGCTCTGTTCAGCTCGGAGAATCACGGACCTGTGTTTGGATTGCTCAGGATTTGTCTTTGCTGGTGTGGAGTTGTGATATTTTTGGCTAAGCGGGGATGAAAGACTAGAGTCCTGTGGCTAATGAGATACCAAGGCAGTGGGAATGATGGTTTTAATTACTGCCCTGAACTGGTCTAAAGGGTGCAATTGCTGAAAAGCATGCTGAGTGTCCTAGGTTGGGAGTCCTGCTGTGCCTGGCTGCCTTTGATGCTCACTCCCCTCTGCTCTATTCCTACATCCTACTTATCAGATTGTTTGCTGCTGATGCTTCACTGCACCTTTGTTCAATCCAATTCTTTGGACAAAGAGAGGAATAACCACTGAGATTTCAACTTCAAAAGCCCAAAAAGTTTCAGTGATGCAGAAGGCATCTTAATCTTGGAAATTAAAGCTACAGCACTCCCATTTTGTTTTGGCTCTTAGGTACTGAGGAGATGAATTGCTAGTCAGCTTGGCGTGGACTGCTTTATGTAAAAACTCAGGAGTGCAAGGGTTAGTATCCAGCCATGTAAACTAAACAAGTGTTTAAGATAGCAATAGCTTCTGTAATGATAAAACTGGGGAGTATTGCTTCCCGCTGTCCGCTCACATTTCACTGGGGAGAAATCTCCAGATGATCCACAGGCAGGCTGTGAGTCCTCCATCTCCTTGGCTGATCCCAGCAGGAGGGTGTTGCTACGTGTCTTCTCTGTTCTCATGCAGCCCAGCTCAGGACCAAGCCTTGTTGACTTTTCAGAGATCACATGAGGCTGGCTCCAAAGGGAGCTCTGCCTCTGCATGACTCTGCCGTGGTCAGCATGGGCCTCTGCTTTCTTTTCCTCCTGCTTTTACCCCCTGCCCCTCACAAAATAAATACATTTCAAAAATCCAGAAAGGTTGGGGTGATGTTTGAACACACCAAACATATTCACAAGCACACCGTTTACAAAATTACCCCAAATTATTTCTTGCCATCACTTTCTTTTATCAAAGTGACAAAAGGACTGACACTCTTTTCTTTCCACCTTTACAATATTCAGTGGAGAAACACAGAAACACACGCTAACTGACTCACATCCTTTTCTACCTAGATTTCCTGTATCTGTATACACAAATAATCTCTAACAAGCCAAGGCTTCCAGCCAGAGGTTTTTGTTATCAAATGAACAGGAAAGAGTATTTGCCAAATAGTCTAACAAAATGGAGCTTGAATAGGATATGTCCTTGGCTCCTGTGTTTGCAGGAAGTGTGGATAAAGGGTTGAACCATTTTGTGTTTTTAAAGCCATAATAATGATGTGCGTCAACACATCTAATGAAAATTCAACTATAGTGTGTATATTTTTTAAAGGATTGATTTTAACACTGCCTAATTTACTAGAATGCATTGTTGATAGCCATTTAAGAGAAAGTACAGATCATATGGCACAATGATCATAAGTTGTATTTAGGTCCTTGGTATTACAAGTACATCCAAATTTCTAATTCTAACTTAGCCCTGTTTAGGGTCATTTAGACCCCCAAGCTCTTGTCATCTTTCTTTTGCCAGATTCTTGTCACCCAGAGTATCAGCTTCCTTCATGAAAGCATCAGACATATTCACCTGGCACTTTTCACTTTTAAAAATGTGGATTACAAACAGTCAGTATTGTTAAATTGAAATAACAAAACTAGCAACTTCTTATTAAGTAAAGTTAGTCCACTTGCATTGGATAATGTTATCTCCCATTAATCAGCAAACTAGTAGTGTAGTTCATGAAGTGTAGAAAGGATGGTGTCCTCACAAATGTTACGTTCATGCAGTGTTATGTGACACATTAATTTCAAATGTAATTAAATGCGCACTGGAGTCACAACAATGCAAATGTTTTCCTAGCCTTGGTGTACATGGTTTGTCAGCTTATTTTCTGTGGGTTTTAGAAATCTATGGTGCAGCTGTGTATATTTCGGTGGGTGTGTTACTGGTGTTACTCACATTGTGGTGCCCCGTTTATACATTTATGGTTTAAACACTCACATCATACTTTAGGGACTTGACCTTCTTTGAGGGGATCAAATGTTGGTTCCCACCATGTAAATTATTGAAGTTTGGTATGACAGTTCGGTGTAAGCTAAGCGTTGGAGTTAGGCAATTAATGGTTAGACGTACTGTAAGGTTAGGCTAAGTTTCCAGTAAATGAGTGTAAATAAGTCAAAGTGAACTCCCCATGAGGAAAGAAAGTGTGCTTGTGTGTGTGCATGAGAGAGGGAGAGAGAGATATGCAGCGCCTGCATCTTTTTAAAGGGGAACACACTGATGCAGAGCAGATTAGATTGCTTAGCAGACAAGAGAATAATCTAATTTTCCTAACCCACTTTCTGATACCATAGTAGGGTAGCTCCTTGCTATTTATTTTCTAGTTTTGCTATCAGGGGTTCAAGCTTACTTTGATTTACATGTAGGACAAAAGCTTTGATACCATTTGTTTTTAAAGTTTCAAACAGATTGAATGAGCTGAGGTTGAATGCTATGAATATTGTCCACATACTATGTTTCAATATAGTGATGGTGATGGTCACAATAATGTAAGAATGAAGAAACTGTATTTTGTGAAAGTGCAGTTGGTTTGGTATACTAACTGTGCTACATGTTTCTGTTCATCAGCTTTGGGCTATATTATCTCACAGAGCATGATTAGTTTAAGCGTGGAATTCACACTGCTGTGGGCTGCAGGGCATGAAGCACATTAATCAGCATCCCTGGCAGGGTGCACCTTTCTTAGCCTCACACCACTCAGCTTGCAGGCAGCCCTCTGTCTGGCCATCTTTCGTCTTCTTTCTCTCACGGCCTTTGTTGTTTTTGAGAGACATGGTGATTTTTGAAGAAAATGTCTCTTCTGTTGTTTTTTTTATCAATGCTTTTACAGCATATTGTTCAGCATTCTGACAACATATTATTACTGAGTGTATGTACAGTAATATTTATTGCTCACATGCTCATAAAGAAATACATTGGTGGATTTTTGTGCCTTAAATGGCTCTTGTGATAATTTTTTTTCCACCAAACAATCAGGCTTGATGACACTGACACTGTAAACAGCGACTGAAGCGGGTCCTCCCAGGCTGGTCTCTCAGGTGTGAATCTTTCATCACTCTTAGGTCTCAGACATGAAAGACATAGCCTTAAATCGTTTTTAAAAATGCCCAAGTTTGGTTTCAAATGGTAGGATGTGGAAAAGAGAGGGAAAATTTGGGAAGAAATAATAGCTCGTAATGAGGTACCTCTTAAAATGACTGCATAAATTGGATTTTCTTTTTTACTTGGAACAAAACCATTTTAACACATTTCTGACTCATTAATATTTCATCATGGTCACAAGTTAAACCTGACAAGAAAGTGGATGATAAACCCTTGTTAGACTTGGAACAAGACTTCATTAATTGTAAACATCATCATAAAAGGGTCATGAGTACACAGTCAATATTTAATCAGTCAATAAATTTAGATCTAGCAGTCAATACTTCCAAGAAAATAATGGCCATGCTTTATTTTCATTCATTGCTTCACCCTGAATCCATTTAGGCCTTACTTGCAGGTCTGCTGGCCTCTGAAATTTCTTCAGGAAATACACAGAAAAACATTAAATCCTCCTGTACTTAGTTTGTTGCTTTTTAAGTCTGACATAGACCTACATATATATGATATAAATGCACATAATGTATCATTAATAAATACCATTTTAAAAAGATAATTAATCACAGATGTTGTCTTAATATATGATGCTCACAACCTGGAAGTCAAGGCCTTTCACTTTAGAGATCATGATCAATGACAAAAACCTTTAAGTGATTGTGGGGTAAGTGGACATTTGACAGTTTGCTGATATATAAAACACCAAGAGTGTTTGTTTCAAAGCCCTGGGTTTCAGTCACTCGGTGAAGTACTGTAGGTGCTGATAACCTAGTCTGCTCTGAGTCAATTTACTGAACGAGCTTTGCTGTCATCAAGTGGCCGCAATTGAGATCGCACTGTTTAAAAAATGAACACCCAACAGCACTAGAATGAAAGGATCACTGCCCTTAAAAGTAGTTCCTAGGCTTTTCTGAGTAGTTAATTTTTTTCAGCAACCATTCGGTGATGTCTTTGTTAGAATAGGCTTGAGCAACTTAACTTGTAAAAGATAATGGTATCTAATATAAACCAAAATGTTTTTTATAGTGTAAAAATGTTACAGGCGTATTAATACTTCTCAGTGATGAGGCTTATAATTAACGTTTCATTGCCGCGCTTTTTCTTTTCGTCGCTGAGGCACCTGTAGGAGTCCAAGTATTTTCGTGTTATAAGGCGTATTAAGGATTTCTTTAAAGGTATATATTGCTTCTGAGTTTCCTAACAGTATACGCTGGTATTAACATGCCGTCCCTGGTCGGCTAGTGGTTAAAGCGCAAGTGTGATTGAAGTTTAAATTTAATCGACTCGGGACTGTGAGCCAACCGGTGAGGCCTTAATTTTCCGGTTAATATTGATGGTTAACTAATGCTAAGTTCAACACCAGTACATCAAGTTAACACGAGAGTACTGTATTGTTATCTTTGGAAGATAAAGGTTTTTATATGCTTTTATGTCAGTGTTGTATCCTGTAAAAAGAAAATCTTAATTGGCATGCTAATATTAATTAACATTAGCTTTCGCAGCTGGCTGAGCACATTTGGTGTGGGCTACAAATTTCATTAGCACGCATGGTGATGTTAGCAAAAGGAAACCCCGTAGCTTCAGCCGTTTAACTCCGTTTAAAGAGTCGTATTATGATGCAGCTTTTGAATGTGTATGACTCGTGTTTTTTGTGGTTTTGTTTGAAGTAAACCTAAGGTTGCAGTATCTGACATTTAGTTTATTATTCGGTTCCAGTTTCAGGTTAACCACGCGAGATTAGTTGTAAAAATACTTGATATTAATGTAGTAATTTGTAGGATATTTTTACATTCAGTATTTTAACAGCTCTACATTTTGAGAACGACTGGAAATGACTGGCCGGGCAAGACCAAGGACAAGAGCGCGCGGCAGAGCGCGCGGTCAGGAGACTGCCGCACCTGGAGCAGTAAGAGCAGACTGATGTTACTGTGATACTGTACATGACAACAGCTTTATCCTTGGTAGACTCTGAAATGTTTGGAACATGTTCAGGTCTACCGCCAACAAATATCACAAACTAAAAACATTTCTTTGTGTGCTTGCAGTAGTATGTATTGTGTAACGTTAGATTTAAATGTGCAGGTTTCGAGATGTCTGAGATTTCTGCTAATGTTACTGTTCAAATTGATAGTAAACTAGTTTGTGGTACTCCCACATCAACGACAGCCTTCTTGCCCCCTGCCTTCTAACTTTGAACTGGCAGCAAATATAACCACGTCCCCAGAATTAGATAAACATTGTCAGAGTATAGCGATGATATTTTTGTGTCACGATGTTCCAATGTAAAATTGATGGGATTAGCAGAGCCTGGGAAAGACACTAATGTACGTATGCATGAATTGTGTACATGTGGTGGCTGAGTAACCTTAATGAGAATGAATGGATAATCGGGCAGAATCTTCATACTTGTTTCTTCATACATCTTGTTTTTTAAATGCTTTAATTCTGCATAAAGAAGGATTGAATTGAAAATCTGCTGGCATATTCAGTTCTGTCACACTTAAAGTAATGGTGATGATGCTGACAGTGAATCAATATCAAAGAATTATCTGTTTTCTTAACACTGTATCACCAAATATACAACTTTTTTTTCTTGTTTTTTTGTCCTTTTGTCTTTTCCCCTCTTGAAGAGCCAGGCCGATGAGCCTGCACCTGCAGAGGCCCCTCCTACAGAGAGTGAGCTGATTGGTAGAGGGAGGCAGAGAGGTGCTCCAGGACCCTTTTCTGCAGAAGGTTCAGTCAAAAATTGATTTGCGTTTTTCTGACAGCAAATTTATTTTGGCTATTTGTTGCTTGTGAAAGTCTGTGTCAAAATGTAGTTAAAGAGCCCACGGCATGCTCATTTCCACCCATTTAATGTTTGTAGATTAGCTTTAGATCCCTTATAACTCCAAATAGTCTGTAATTATTTCAGAATGATAAAACCAGAGAGCCTTTTCCTAAAAAATGAGGATAGTTTGTGAACGTGCACACCTCCTGCTGCCAATGTTGTCAAAAGTGGTAGGTTGATTTCAATTTCTCCCCCACAGAGATGTCTGAGATTTCTGCTAATGTTACCGTTCAAATTGAAAGTGAACTAGTTTGTGGTACTCCCACATCAAAGATAGCCTTCTTGCCCCCTGCCTTCTAACTTTGAACTGGCAGCAAATATAACCACGTCCCCAGAATTAGATAAACATTGTCAGAGTATAGCGATGATATTTTTGTGTCACGATGTTCCAATGTAAAATTGATGGGATTAGCAGAGCCTGGGAAAGACACTAATGTACGTATGCATGAATTGTGTACATGTGCTGGCTGAGTAACCTTAATGAGAATGAATGGATAATCGGGCTGAATCTTCATACTTGTTTCTTCATACATCTTGTTTTTTTTTTTAAATGCTTTAATTCTGCATGAAGAAGGATTGATACGAAAATCTGCTGGCATATTCAGTTCTGTCACACTTAAAGTAATGGTGATGATGCTGACAGTGAATCAATATCAAAGAATTATCTGTTTTCTTAACACTGTATCACCAAATATACAACTTTTTTTTCTTGTTTTTTTGTCCTTTTGTCTTTTCCCCTCTTGAAGAGCCAGGCCGATGAGCCTGCACCTGCAGAGGCCCCTCCTACAGAGAGTGAGCTGATTGGTAGAGGGAGGCAGAGAGGTGCTCCAGGACCCTTTTCTGCAGAAGGTTCAGTCAAAAATTGATTTGCGTTTTTCTGACAGCAAATTTATTTTGGCTATTTGTTGCTTGTGAAAGTCTGTGTCAAAATGTAGTTAAAGAGCCCACGGCATGCTCATTTCCACCCATTTAATGTTTCTAGATTAGCTTTAGATCCCTTATAACTCCAAATGGTCTGTAATTATTTCAGAATGATAAAACCAGAGAGCCTTTTCCTAAAAAATGAGGATAGTTTGTGAACGTGCACACCTCCTGCTGCCAATGTTGTCAAAAGTGGTAGGTTGATTTCAATTTCTCCCCCACAGATAAGTATACAATGCTATATGTACTGATGAAGAGAGATGTGTAACACTAAACAAAGCAGGTAAATGAGAGACCCCATATTTTAACTGGCATAATGCAGACATAGTAACTTCTCGATCTTTAAAACGGTTCTCTACAGAAACAAGGAATTAACAGACCTGCAACATGTATTTTTTTTTACTTCTCAAGTAGCTTCAAAGTCAGTAAATCAATCAGTGGTCGCTGCGTCTTCCCCCACACGACCACGTACATTCCCAGAATAGTGAAATTAATTCCAAAAGGTAGCGTAGCTTCCAAAAGGTAGCGTAGCCCTGACAATAGTATGTCAGGTCAAGAAAAAAAAAAAAAAACATGGAAAAGCATGCCATGGGCACTTAGAATGCCCCCCCCCCACCCCACGCATACCAGTCCTGACAGTTGCAATTTGTTTTTATTAGCTCTTCTGCAGATTTCAGCTGGATTTCAACAGGTGAAGCTGGGAGAAAGAGGTGGACGCCGCCAGGATTTTCATGATGCAGGGGTTTACACTAGGCAGGCTATGGAGCATGTTAAGGAATCAAAGTCTGGTCAGTCATCGTTTTAAGTTAACATATATAGTTAAGCAGATGTACATTTTGTGGTTGTTGGAGAGGATTGTAAAGTACTCTTTAAAAGTGTGTGTGTGTGTGTGTCCTTTCTCAGGGACAACTGGTTCTGCCATTCAGTTGAGGGCAAACTTTTTTTCGCATCCTGTCCCGCCCTCAATGGGTTCTGTACCAGTACCATGTGGACTTCAAACCACCAATGGAGTCTCGTCGCATGAAAAGCGCCCTTCTCTTCCAGCACGAGGAAGCACTTGGCTCAGCACGTAGCTTTGATGGAGCAATACTCTTTCTGCCTCGCCGATTGCACAGCAAGGTTCTCTGTTAACCCAAACTTGCAAGATTATACACACACAACAACGGTAAAAGCCAGAAATACAAATGTAGCTTGTAGTTGAAGGTAAGAGGTCCTTAGTTGCTTGCACCTTGCCAGACTAAAGTGGCTTAAACTGATCAAATTTGGCTGACGTTGGTACATTTTTCCCATTGCTCCCTTTGCAAATAATACTGCAGTTTGGTGGTCTTGATGTTTTATTTGATAGTAAAGTTTAACTGTTAAGACAAAGGTTTTCCTGCTTTGTACTGAAATATGTAACCCTGTATTTAGGAGACAGTGCTGTACAGTGAGACAAGGACTGGAGAGAAGGTTCAGATCAGTGTCACTCTGACAAATGAACTGCCACCAACATCACCAGTGTGCATTCAGTTTTACAACATCATATTCAGAAGGCAAGTTTTCTAGTTACCAGATCTTAAAAAAAAAAAAAAA